GGGAGAGAGAGAAACATCAGTTTGCTGTTCCACTTACTTATGCATTCATTGCTTGCATCCTCTGTGTGCCCTGACTGGGCATCTAACCTGCAGCCTTGGAGTGTCAGGATGAGGCTCTAAGCAGCTAGAACCCTACTGAGATACCTGGCCACGCATGTGCTATAATTTTATACGACTGGCAGCATATTTTTCCATTGCTTTTTCGGGGGGAGGGGAGAAACATCGACATGAGAAAGACACATCGATTGGTTGCCTCCCACACATGCCCTGACTGGCCGGGGTCAAGCCTGCAACTAAGGTATGTGCCCTTGGCCAGAATCGAACTGGGGACCCTTTGTCTGCAGGCCAGTGCTCTAACCACTGAGCCAAACAAGCTAGAGCCAGGGGGATATGTGTATATATATATATATATATATATATTGATTTCAAAGAGAGGAAAGGAGAGAGAGAGAGAGAGAAACATCAATGATGAGAGTCACTGATCGGTTGCCTCCTGCATGCCCCCTGCTGGGGATTGAGCCCGAAACCCAGGCATGTGAGCCACGATCTCCTGGGTCATAGGTTGATGCTCAACCACTGAACTGGGCCAGGGGGCATTTCTTGATGATGACCAGGGTCCCCTGTTTACCCTGGATGTTGTTGGGTTACCCACCACTACAATTTCAAACCCAGTAGGACCCGGATGAGGCTGAGAACCTGCATTTCTAAGGAGTTCCCAGGCGATACTGATGCTGCTGGTTCAGGGACCACACTTTGAGGACCACTCTTTCCAAACCACGCAGTTACAGCTGCCCTGGAGAATCATGTTAGTCCTTAAGAAATAATCGCACTCGGTGACATCACTACAGAAGTGTAATTAATGAGTTCTGATGAACCAGCGTGAACTTAAGTACTGATCTGAATATTTTCCTGTATGTATGCAACGGGCAGCATTTTCATTTAAATTGTGTGCCACCAGTAATGTTGTTTACATTCAGGCCCTACCCTGATTGAGACTAATGCTGTTTTTGGCAATTTCAGGCACACGCCAGGCTCCTGTCTCATGGGCTGGTGAAAATGTGATGTCAAGGTTGTGAGATCTGAAAAGAGGGATTTTCCTTATTGTCTGAATCAAACTGTATCAGTGGCTAAAACAACCACCCAAACCGGCTGTTCTCCCACTGCATTCCCAGGATCCTTTGCAAGGCCTCTGTCATAACTCGGTTTACATCGTGTTTGAATTATTGATTTACAGTCTGACTTTCTGAAGGGCTCATGGGTTCCTCAAGGGCAGGCATTCTTCCATTTGGAAAAAGACATGTGTGGTAAGGAGTTATTTATTTTCCTACTCTTGGTCCTGTTTGTGTCAATAAACAGCGAGGAAATTGGTTCTGGATGAAGATGCTGTGTGTCCTCACGCGGGCATGTCAGTGTGTTTTGAGTTTGAGATTTTGTGGGGTGTAGGGTGGGAGTGGGTGGGGGCTGGGCTCTTGTCGGTGATGGGGGTGTGTGCTTCTGTGGGGGGACATTGTCTGGGACTGTGTATCAAGCATGTGTCTACGCTCAGTGCATATAGTCACCAATGAGATTCAGTGACCATGAGTGGCTGGCTGGCTGTGTGGAGGAGTGTCCCCCCACCCCCACCCCTGGGTGTGCCTGGATGAGGGATGCTGTGATCTCTGTGGCTTCTCTTTGATGCTGGCTGTGTGCTGTGGCCCAGTGGGTCCCGTGTTCCTGTCCCTGGGTCTGCCACCCTCTCCGGGTCTCCTTGCTGACCCACATGGCCATCTGTGTGTGAAGCTCATGGCCCTCCTGGGCAGGTGGAGCTCTAGGTGACTGTGCCCAAGGGTGCTACACAAACCACGTCTCCATCCCTGTGTCTGGGCCCTTGCAGAGCTGGGAGGGCGGGGCTGCTGTGTCCTTGAGGTCAACAGGCCTCCCTGGGAAGTTAGCAGCTGGAGGGTAGATTTCATGGAGTCATGGAAGGAAAGGAGGTAGAAGAATCCAGAACTGGGTTAGGGAAGGGCCAGGCTAAGGGCCGGGGTCTCAGAACCATTCTAAGAATAGTCCTACTTATTGAGCACCTACCATGTGCTGGGTACTATACTTTGTGCTCTCTATATTTATATTAGCTATATTTATATTTATATTATTTATTTATGCCACTGTCTCATTCAAGAGTGCATACTAAGTATTCATATTACATTTATAAAGAACAATTATGTAGAGTATTTGTGTTTATGAATATTTTGTTATATTAGTTTTAAGTTACTTTGGAGTATAAAATGATTTTATACCATCATATTCTATTTCTATTATCATATATATCATCCCACTGAAGGTAGGAGGAAACTGAAGCTCAGAGAAGTGAGTTCTTGCCCAAGGTCACACAGCCAGCAAGGTCACTCAGCAAGGTGACAGAGTCCCATTTGAACCCACCTCCATGTTTACAGCGTTTGGCCTCAGTCACTGCATTGCCCTGGCCAAAGTGGCAATGGCATCTGAGGGGACCGGTAGGGAGTCTGAGCTGAGTGACTGTGGACAGCAGATCAGTGTTGTGTGCTGGTTTACACTTACCGAGTCCTTACTGTGTGCCAGGCTCTCTAATACTGTCGATGGCACGTGCTGCTATGGCGCTTAGTGGGCCTGCTGTCAGCGCTGTTACGCGGCTTGGCCCATTTACTCCTCACACCTGCGCTCCGAGGCGGCACCACCATCGTCTCCACCCTGTGGAAGCCTGTGCGAGAGCTGGTGGAGGAGCTGGGGTTTGGTGCCAGGCTGTTCCTTTGACCCTCGAGCTTTCAATTATCCCTTATAATCTTCAAAACAGTCCTCTAGCGTAGGAGGAAATATTGCCCATTTTCCAGATGAGGAAACTGAGGCCCGGACTTGGACTCACCCACAGAACCACAGGTGTGAACTATTGTCTGTCAGAGCAGCTCATCCACTTGGAGCCTGCTCTTGTCTGGCAGGAGACCAGGAGTGCCAAAGAGCCTCTGAAGGGCCTTGGCCAGGCTCCCAGGTGCCCGGGGCCTGTCCCACCCGAGATCCCAGGCTCCCTCCACCTCCTGTCCTGCTCCCTGCTTTTTCCTTTGGCTTATGTGGTGCTGGGTGGCCAGCTTTCAGCATCTCAGACAAGAAACGCGGGACAGGCTGCTTGGGGCCAAACACAGAGTCAGCAAGGAGGAGGCCACATGCTGGTTCCAGCAGAGGCAGGACGGGATCACCCTTCCTGGCAAAAAAATTCCCGTTTCTACCCAAAAGGCCAATAAACCTTTTTTGGTGAAATGTAAAAAACATTTTCAGTGAAATGTGCTGATTGGTAGCACTTATTGTATGTTACAGGAATCATATCTTTCCCCCAGATTAGGTTTTTGGGTTTTTTGCTATACAAAAGTTTTAAAGTATTATACATTTCAGCCGGCTTGGCGTGGCTCAGCGGTTGAGTGTGAACCCATGACCAGGAGATCATGGTTGGAATCCGTGGTAATGGGTCAGAGCACATGCCCCAGCTGGGGGCTCGATCCTCAGTAGGGAGTGTGCAGGAGGCGGCCTGTCAATGACTCGCTCTCATTGTTGATTTTTAATCTCTCTCCCTCTCCCTTCCTCTCTCTAAAATCAATAAAACCATATTTTAAGAAATATTATACATTTCAATAGATCGTATTTGCTTTAGAGATCAAGATTTCCAACCTGGTGGAAAATCTTCTAGCTCCTAGGAAGCGGTGGGGGGGGCTGGCAGCCTCTCTCCCTCCCTCTCGGCCTCCTGGGCTTATCCATCTTAGGGGTAAAGGGGCTGTTCCATATCTTCTTTCCTG